AGAGGCCTAGGAGACCGACATATCAGTCAGCCTGGCCTAACGACTGAGATGAAGTGACTTTGAACACATTAAAGACAGTTACTTGTAAAATCATTGTTTGGTCTTTCATTTATCACAATATATAATTTTCTTTAAGTACAAATGGTGAATTTTGATGTTGTTTCTATGATAATGAAAGAATGATTAATTGTCTGTTTAGGTACATTATTCTCTTGGCTTGTAAATTAAAAAGTACTTTGCGCGACCAGATTTTTTGTTTGCGCGCCCAAATGTTTGCCTGCGCGCCTAACTTTTTGAGGCTAGGAGCGCATGCGCTCCTAAGCTAAAAATTTAGTCTGGAGGGTTGAAATCAAAACATAGGCGCCTTAGCAAATGTTAACAGATTCTATTCGTTTTAATAGATACAGTCTGCCACGCTTTGATATTCTACGATTGCAGACTCGATCGGTACTACTTGCAACTTATGGGTGTTAGAAACAGATACATCGGCTAGGACTGTTAAACAATATCTGCGCCTATAATGATCGCAACAACATGTCCGATGATTACATTTATAGGACTGTATACAGATAACGTCATTAAGTTAATGCTTCTTCTCAAAGTAGTATCTTACCTGTGACGTAAGTGTTCGGCCGGAAATAGCGCAGGTCCTCCAGAGGCTTGTTTCCGTTAAACACAGTCCGGGACCCCTCTCCGTCTATTATAGCCCTGTATGAATGAGATAAAGACTCGAGTTTATCAGCTTACTTAGAACTCGCAATAACGATCATATGCATTATACAGCGAGGATAACGATGACTAAGAGAAATAATTGTTCTGTTTTCGTCGATATTCACATAAACGTCGCTCACCTGAAGTTCAGTTTGACCTTTCCGAGTGATTCACTAAGATAGTAATGTTTTATACTTTCAACAAGACAAGTTCTTCGTATTTACATAATGACGACGAACTGGCCGGTATATGGGTATGGATAATGAGTATGGATAATGGCTTTGTTTTTGTAGATTCGTACATATGTGATATATGTTTTGACATGTCCTGTAAGTACTTCTCTACGTTTTGCCATATTGTTTCTATTGTATTATTGGTGTGTTTTATGTGTTATGTGTCCAGGGCCCTACTGCAAAGCAGTGCTTTATAACTGAGTGGGCCACCCTGGCTAAAGAAAACAGAAAAAAACTAGAAAGGTAAAATTTGCAAGGCAAATGCATAATGTTTACATTTGCACATGGTCTGCTCTGTAAGTTCTTACTTAAACACATCCATATATATGATAAAAGCAGTCTAAATCCCTCATGCTATGAAATTGCAACATAATGTAACTCAACACTGGTTACATTGGCAACAGACACAAAATTAGTTCAGGTCAGAGGTAACTGTTTGGAGAAGAAGAGGAAGAAGAAACTGAGCAAAAACAATATGGTTTTTTTTCGGCAAACATAAAAAATTAAGAAGGAAACATGAAAAGAAATATAACAGAACAATAAACTGGGATGAAAAATAGCTGCTGGAAAGGTACGTACCTGTGGTTGGGTAGAGGTGTCTGCTCCACACACCTGTCCTCCCACTCGTCAGGTACTAACTCCTCACACACCTCCGCAGCCGTGACGTCATGACTCACGTTCGCCAGCGGCCCGGGAGACGGCGGGACGAAGTCGGCTATCACCGCCGGAGACGTCAGGATGTTCGTGTAGCCTAGTTGATTTGATATGATTTAATTTATTAAAATTGTAACAATACACGTAGAACAAAGGCAGGTGTTGCTGGTGTTGTGTCCCATACATATAACAAATACATGACAAGCAATACTCATTTTAAATAAAGTGAGGAAAGTCGTGTGAAGAGCCATTCCCAAGGAAACAAGATCGGCGGCATGTCGGGATTCGAACCCGGGACCACTTGGTCAAGCCCTTACGCCAAGTCGAGCCCTTACGCCACACGACCCCACTGTCGGTTAGTTACGGATAGAAGAAAAGATTTTGACTTTGACTTGATTTAAATGTAGATATTTGCTTAGTTAATTGCAAAATTAAGCTTCATTAAGTCTCAACATCAAGACACGTGCATATGAACAAGTTACAACATTACAGAGAGAAGTATGGCATTTCAGTTCACACAGCATCTGTAAAACTATCAGTTTTTATTCTCTTTACGTTTGGAACAATTGCAGACTATTCCAGGGGTTGGACATTTGAATGCTCAGACATAATCTAATCGACGCAATTTCGTATGTACTAGAAACTATCATTTGATCGCATTGTCTTGATTACTCTATCTATCTTTTGATAATTTTTTAATGAGCATACTAAAATCCGACGGGGTACATACTTACCCACAGTGTTGTTTAGGAACAGGTTGTAGTAGTACAGGTGATCGTGTATCAGTTCCAGATCCTCGTGGGCTACCTCCACAGCGTGGCCGATCCCGAGACGTTCAAAGTTGTGGAAAATACCGTCCTGCGAACAACAGGAAAAAATGCCATTGCCTTTTCTTGTTAAGCAACTTGATTTTTTAACAGGAACTTCTTTATAGTTAGAAATCATAACAATTGTTATGTTCCTTACAAGACTATAGACTTACACTCTTGTAAGTCTAGACTTGTATTGAAATTAAAACGAAAATTGCTAAGAGACCATATTCTTCATTCATGTATCTCTTTTTCTTAAATTCAAATCACAAGACAAGGTGACGCTGCACTGAAGTTCAGCAACTTACTAGTATTTTGCCAGCGGCACTTAACAATAAACACAAACATAAAAGACAAAAAGGACTAAAGTGTGCCAACGTCCCCCACCCCACCATACGATCATTTCAATTACAAAAGTATAAGTATCTTTTATATCTTTTACACGGAGAGATTCTCAGTCGAAAATAGTTAGAAGCGTTGGGTCTGCGGGACATAAGTTTGTGTAAGTAACATAATTTTGGAAGGATAATTGTAGTCAGCAGTGATTGAGGATGAGCCTTTAAGTACAAGGCAGAGTTTAAAATATATCTCTTTGGTGTAATCCTTTAGTGTATCTTCTGGGACTAAATAAACAAAGTTGCCCACCGTACCGTGTACATGACGACACCATGTCCCTCTATCTCCTCCAGTAGTTCACAGCGCCCGTTATCGCTGTAGTCGTAATTAAAGCTGAGGCACTTTGTAGCAGGTAGAGCCAGGCAGTCCCGGGCACACTTCTGTGCGTAGGGGTAGTGAGCCACGTGGTGAGGCTTAGACAACACTCTCCCTGCAAAAACACAGGATGCAACGTTTACTTAACAGGACGTTCCATTGTGGTAGGCTTGAATAAGATTGACGAGGCACATTTCTAAAAGCTTTTGCTTATACCAAGCGTTTTAATAGCCCAATATACTAGTTGGAATGTATGTGTATCTGTATCTGTATCATTATACCTGATATACTAAACAAAGCTGTTCTATATAATGCCATATACTCTATCGAACATAGAGCAGCGTAAAAGAGGGCACCGCGTCCGCTCAGATCAGCTTGTGCCGTGGACGCCGTGGGAGACGCACGTACTGAAATTGTGCTCGTGCATTCCTATTGCTAATGCATATATATACGAAAGGGCGAAGCTGTGGGAACCAAAACCACGACAATGACTCACCAAGACGCGGCGCTGCAAAGTACTCCAGATTGCGGGTGTCGTGTGGATCATGCCCGATGCTGATTTCCACGTGGATTTTGGTGATGTTGATGTTCTTCCAGGGGACGACTTGGTCACCGTACACCTTCCGTCCGTATCCCACCGCTTCCTACGAAAAAAAATTAAAGAAAGAAAAAAATGAAAACGAAAGCCCATCTATGTTGGTTCAAATCATAGTGTACAGTTATTGAAGTAAGGTATCAGCAACGTCAGGGCCCTTTAGCCCTATCTATTTACCAATATATATATTTTTTTATTTCATCCCCCCCCCAAAAGGATGGATAAATTTTTAAAAAGCGTATTGGTAAATGGGAGGAAAGCTTTCTAGCATTAAGAACATAGTGGATAACGTAATACAGATTCTGTTTCTTATTCTTTCCTCACATGACATAAAAGCAAGTTTGTAACCTTTACACGTTAACCACATTGTTTTCTGATTTTATTTATCTGTTTTTGGTGTTTCACATGTTCTTTCAATATAAGTTTTTCTGTATGTTTATCTTTTGTCTTTAAAAATTTAAAAAGGAATGCTTTAAAAAAAATCTTGAACGGGACAGCGGGTGATATAGACTTTCGGGGAACTTTGTCCCACCCATGGCGTCACGCACCACGCATTGAACATTACGTATTTTTAAGGTTATCGGTATCGGTATAATGAGTGTCGTGCGAGACTTATTTATAGGTAAAGCGACCAGTTTCAACGATAGCATAAGTACATCTTGCTTCTTGCCTTTTGGTTAACTAGAGCTGAATCGTCCAAGGCGACAGCTGACGCGCGAAGGATCCCGGGATGGCTGGTGGAGATGAAGTCGGGAGTGACCCTGCCCCCTGGCAGCGTGACGTCATATGTCGGCAGCTCACACGTGGCCAGGGCGGTCTGCTGGGCCGAGTTGGTGGCCGTCACGGTGAAGTAGAGAGGCACTCCTCCTCGTAAAATCTTCGTGACGAAACAATATTACTGTTACTCACTATCAACACAAAGCAGTGTACAATCCTTAGGTGCAATACCATGACACATAATGTGCAATATACCATGCCTGCATGCACAAGAACTTTAGAATGAAAGTCTCAGACATTCACATCAATTTATGTGTAATTTTAGATTTTAGAAGTGAAATTCAGATCATTAGGCCAGACCGAGAAAGCCGATAAACCAGCTAAAACCCCGCGAGTGCATGTACATTGGGCAGGAGGTGAAAACATTTGTTAAAATCATCACGAATACCTGTGCCACTATTGTTGTGAAGCCTCCCAGCGGTTGATCCAACACCTGGTCGCTGCCTCCCCTGGTGACGCCGACAGAGTAGGTGAGATCCACCTCGCTCCTGTCGTCATCCACGGCCAGTTCCAGCAGGAAGGCCGGCTCCGTGTAGTCCCGTCCGTACTGCTGCTTCACGATGCAGTTGGTCGTCTGGGCTGCTCGCCTGGCCACGCCGTTTTCGAACGGCTGCAAAGACGCAATGCATACCGTACGTACATAGAGGAACCAAAATCCAATAGTCTCTCCAATAGGCCAAGACCTTACCACATACCGGCAAACTTTATAAGAATGCATTCATAACTTCTAAAGTTAAGCTGATAAACAAAAAAAAACACCGTTACACATGCAATAAAAGCGTATTAACCTTCTGGGCAAAAGCTGTTAATGTCACAAAGGTAATAATACAACAAAGTACTTTGTTTTAAACCCCTACGTAACATTTTGAATAAAGCAAGTACCGAAGAATAGACTTTGAAATCAGGGGGAGATGTGTCCGGTTCATCCGAGTTGATGGCGAATATCGTGGCGTGGATGGTCGGGGTGGCGTATTGCCAGAGGAGTTTGTTGATCAGGGTTTTCGTGATGGTTTTGAACGGCAGGGGTATCGTCAGCTCCAGGATACCACGGAGCTCCAGCCTCAGGGGAACCAAGTTCATGTCCATTCGGATCCTGAAAATGGCATAGTCAAATTCAACACGAATTCGTAGATTTCATACCTCCATGAAATATATGGTTTTTGTAAAAGGTTTTATATTTTTCTCATTGACTATGGAAATAAGGTCGTAATTAGCATAATCTAGGGTTTTTTAAATTCAAATGACAACATTTTAGTGTAAAATCCCTCTCCTTTGTCATACTAGTACTTCATTTCAACATGTCCTTATTAATGATGCAAATGGAGTCTACATTAACATAATATATGCATAGTGGTGTTAACCTTTGAATAACTTACACATGTGAAAAGGTATACAATTCCCACCAATAAGGAGTCACAAAATTTTCTCATTAATTATGCAAATTAATTCATAATTTGCATAATTGGTATCTGTTGATGTTCCGCCTGCCACAGTTAAAATAGATTACATATATAAACGTACTATTATATAAAACACTGCAATTATAAAATGCCCTCCTTAATTATGCAAATTATGTCCTCATTTGCATAATTTGCATTCAGTTATGGTTCTCAACTCTCTCTCAGTTACCTACACACCAAAATGATAAAAATACGTTGTTCCTATCTGGACTTATTGGCTTTTAGAGATTTCGCCAGAAAGTCCCCTTCAGTTCCAGAACAAGGTCATCCACCAGGAGGGCCATATTTTACCTTGACCTCCGTCTTTCTAAGACTTACCAGCATACCAAATATCATCACAATTTATAAAGGCGTTTTGAAGTTATGCTGACTACAAATGTGCGGAAACACAAACACACAGACAGACACACAGACATCGACAGACACGCAAAAACAATACCTCCATTTTTCATTGAGGTAATTACTTATCTTATTAATGCCAACGACTACAGCTTTCGTATTGCTATAGCGTCGAACTTGTATGGTAACATATTGTGCCATTGCCAAACTTATAATTAGGCATATCAATATGATAGGCAGATCAAATTTTGGATCCCACTTCTGACACCATTTTATGTTTTTTGGCCCACTTGTAGATACTTAGACTACGGCAGGAAGACGGTTTTCTGTTGTCTGATGCTAAGGATAAGTAGAGAATTTTGACAAGGTGCTACCTCAGAGTTTGGCCTGGAACAGAAAGAAGAGAACTTAGATCTAGCTTAAAGGGTGAGCTTGTGGATAGTCATGATAACCAGGGATAAAATGAGTACAGAGATTACAGAGAGATGTCTTTCCGGCTCTCTTACTGATACAGCATACAACAGCAACCGTTTCTCACCCCACGTCCAACGGGAACTTGGTGAACTGTAGTTCCGCCTTGCACGGAAATGACGTGGTCATGACGTATCCTGTGATTTGGAGCCTCCCCTCAAAAAGACCGAGCCATACAGTGAGGCTACCCCAGACTTGGCAGCCTACGGAGGGAGTCACTGTTACCTAACAGGGAGAAATGTATAGGCTTAACAATAATTACTTTAGTTTAATAAACTTTTTCATGTATTATCTAGTTATTGCACAGTCTGGTGTATTTCTCAAAAGGAGGTATCAATGAGCTAATCATAGAGCGGCAGTAACTTGCAATTCACTAAAAACTTACACAAATCAAGCACCCCCCTTAAATCATTCAAGAGAGACTGAAATATGACTAGTATTGAACTTCTGACACTCCACTTCTTTCGATTACTGACCGATTACGATTTAAGTATTTTTGTTATTTGCTCGATTTGTATATATGGCTTCTTACTACTTTGTTCAAGTACTTTATTATTTATGATCAACTACTCCTAAGTTTGTATTATTTGGAGCTTGACCTCTGACAGCTCAACTCTGCATGATCTTGTATTTTGATTTATGATTTCACTGTTACGTTTAATTATCATTATCGTATATTACATTATTTTCTATATGGGCTCCCTTGAAAATCAGCCCCAAGGGGCTGAAGGGACCACCCATGTGTCGTCAAGATAAATAAATAAATAAATAAATAAATAAATAAATAAATAAATAAATAAATAAATAAATAAATAAATAAATAAATAAATAAATAAATAAATAAATAAATAAATAAATAAATAAATAAATAAATAAATAAATAAATAAACTAGTGGCCTTTCTTTACACACACCGTGACACACGTACGATATAATATGATAATCAAAGTTTCACAAGTCATGAGGTATAATGTCGCATAATACGGAAGCACAGACGTCGAAGAAGATATAATAATACAAAACATGATGGACGGAGACAATTTTCTTAAACTCTACATCGATATGAAATTGTTATAAAGAATCGGTATTTAGTTTTGAATGCTACTAGTGGTGGATTGTATATCATATCCACCACTGCAAATATAAGGGTAATTTAGACAAACTTTTAGTTTCTACCCCTACGGCAATGTTCAAGAAAGAGAACAAAAGTAAAAGGGGCAACAAATTATGAAACTGCAAACTTACATCAGCCTGCATTGACAGTATTCGAACGTCTGTAGTGAACGTCACGCCATAGCTTCCACCACCTCCCCACCCTGCAAAACAGGTCAGTCAGTCATGACATATTTGGGTCATAAAATTTACTAAACATAACCTTACTAAATACACAAAAACGCAAATATTGAGGAGGTACCACCACTGTATGTTCTGGACAGTGAAATAACACTACAGTAGCACAGACAGCGTAAGTAGTATCTCTTAATTTTAAACATCATCTTTAAGGCAGCTAGTTTTTAACGCTATTTGGTGACAGCAAGTTCCACTAAAATTCTTCTTACCAAAAATCATGACAATCGGTCCAAGTATGAAGGGGACTTGGTACCGGAAGAAATCCACGTTGTATGGCCCGATTGGAATTGTAAATGACAGCTTCTTATCCAGAGATGTGAACTGGTCTTTGAAGACCTGATGCAGGGCGTTGTCAATAGCTGCAATGGCCTGAAAAAATGGAATATCTTAAACCATATAATGGTCTATAGGTGCACCTGCCAGTTTTGTGTACTGTAAGGCCACATCGACTCAATTTTATGGATAACGTCCTTTAAAGACCCCCAAACTAGTGAGTGAAGGCGAAAAATTCCAACCAAAAATACAAATTCTGCTAAACTACAGGAATACAAAACTGGTATTGTAAATTTGCGGCAGTACTTAGCGACGTATAAGACAAACCGGCGCATGCTGGCTTTTTGCGGAATTTATAAATCGGCACTGAACGTATGTACTGAGTTCTTGAGTCGTAAAGCTTCGGTAGCCTGGGTGACCGGCTCCGTATTGTCCCTAAATAGAGCCAGGCCAGAGGCCCGGTGACGTGACCTTTTTTTTCGGAGAACAGGCGAACGAAAATCAATGCGCGCGGATGTCATCCATAAAATTAAGGCGGTGTGGCCTAAAACAATCATCACAGAGACTGGGCATAGCGTGGGAGGTATAAAGGTCCTGGCAATTTTTTACCGTCTCATGTCCGTGAGGTCCGATCTTGGTTATTTGGTCATTGGAATTCTAAAGAACAATTCTTAAAAAAGACTGCAACAGGACTATCGACCATTTGATGTACGTACGTATTGTATCGAGACGGAGTTTCAGCTCTGTACTATATGCATATGACTGTTACATTATTCATATTTGCTTCTTAAAAATTGGCAATGTTACTAAAACAATGCTTTCTTTTCTTTTTACTTACTATGTCACGATAAAGCGTTCGTAGTTCCCTTATGACCTCAGTGACGTCATCAGCTATCATATTAGCGTCGTCTATTAGCCTCTCAATGTCGCCTAATAACAACTGCCCCATATCAGCAATGCCTGGTGCAGCAAAAGAACAAACACAAATGAACAAAGCCAATATTAAAACAAACCAATGGATAAAAGCAGCGAAAAAAGTACGATATAAGTATCATTGGATATCTATATTGGAGCATAGATTGATACATAGATTAAGGGGAAATTGTCTGTACATTTTTGTTGTATTATGATTGAATTAAGTTATTGCTTGATGAAAAGTGTCTACTTCTCTTTCTCCTTCCAGACGGTGTCAACGCTGAGGCTTGGCAAACTCCCAGCTGAAGTCTGGTCCTGCTGAAGACGCTCACATAGGGGAGGCACAGGTTATCCAGCACTGAACACAGCGTCACTTGGAAGGTGAGCTGAAATGATAATTTTTGGTTTTACCTCTTTACTGAATGAATGGGTAAACGACGAGACTCAATGAGCGACTCATGAAAGGTATAAGACGTATGACCATGACTTATTATACCAGCAAGGAAATATGTCATTTTGATATGCTTTAAATTATAGTTACCTACAACATTTGTAAAGCAAATGCATAATGTTTACCTTCGTTTATGGTCTGTTCTGTTAATTCTTACTCAGACACATTCATATATTTGGTCAAGACAGGAGTCTAAATCCTTCCTACTATAACATTGCAACATTATGTAACCCAATACCAGTTACCATAGTGAGAGATGTCAACAAATCAGGTCATTGGCTACGTCAGAGATCGGTGTTTGCAACGGAAGTAGAAGAAACGCAGCAAAAACAATGTTTTCCTTCGATAAACATAATTACCTCAACTCCACCTGGAATAGCGACAATTTTGTACTTGAAGATCACTTGTGCAATGTCGAGAATCTGTAGGTTTTCTTCTGCATGTCCAGCATCTTCTGCCGCTGTTTAAGGAAATACAAGTTAGTAAGAAGCGTGTTAGGCTCAATAGATAAGGCTTATATTTCATTGCGGTATATTTCTATCAACTAACATTGTTTAAACAGTTTAACAAAGTTGGGTATAAAGATACAATATTACAGCTTACCAAAGGAGGGGTCGATGATATCAAAGGTCTTCCTCCATAACCCCAAACCTAGCGTCAGCTGGTTACTACAAGGGTCAATTATTGCGAAGGCACTGAGGGACCGCCTGGTGAAGACAAGATTTAGGTCGACACAGCACGTCACGCCCAGACAGTTGTCCTCGAAGAAACAGCGCATGTTCTGAGGAAGATGTTGTCTCAAGTCGGGACATCCTGAAGAAAAAAAAGAAATCCACATTGAACAAATACCTTAATCTGCCAACAATCTGTGAAATGTTTTAAGCACATCTTCTATTTTATTATTTCCTACATATGCAGCAGGCTGACTGACAGGAGTGGTAGTAGTAGTAGTAGTAGTAGTAGTAGTTTGCACCTTACAGGTGTCTGTTGATATTTCAGAAGTAGTAGAAGTAGTAGTACTAGTAGTAGTAGCTGTAGTAGTAGTAGTCGTAGTAGTAGTAGTAGTAGTAGTAGTAGTTTGCACCTTACAGGTGTCTGTTGATATTTCAGAAGTAGTAGAAGTAGTAGTACTAGTAGTAGTAGCTGTAGTAGTAGTAGTCGTAGTAGTAGTAGTAGTAGTAGTAGTTTGCACCTTACAGGTGTCTATTGATATTTCAGAAGTAGTAGAAGTAGTAGTAGTAGTAGTAGTAGTAGTAGTAGTAGTAGTAATAGTAGTAGTAGTAGTAGTAGTAGTAGTAGTAGTAGTAGTAGTACAACGAAAACAGCAAAGTTCTAAACACTACAAATAGACACTATACTATGGTACGATATAGGGAGGATATTACCGGTAGAAGTACTTACGGTTTTCTGGTTTCCTGTAGTTGTTGAGCAGGGTGGCTCTGGAACCAGTGGCAGGGTTCCCTCCGTCACGCAGAATTCTCCTCAGCGCTGCGTCATCGAGTGTCTCCGGTACAGGGCAGGACGTCTTTTCTAGGTGAAGCGACTCCTAAGAAGAGAAACATCAGCAAAAAAATAATAAATTGATAAATGCTTTTTAGACAAGGCATACCAATATACATAACTGCAGAACTGATGTGGAACATAACAATACAAATGCAGTTCTTGATAGTTGCTGTGATTTTCAGGAATCTGGTTTTACTATGATAGCTACAATAATAGTGCTATTTGCTTACAAAGGTCTACTCCATACCAACATATTGAACATATTGAAATACAACCATTGGTTGTACAATATACAATGCTACATCCTACTAAATGCTTTGGAATAACCCTACAAACCAGAAGACGCTCTACTGTCCGTTCAAGCCTGGCCTTGGCATCCGCCAGTCCAGACAACACCATGAACTCCAACACTTTGGAGAGTTGCAGACTTCGGAAGTCAAAGTCCAACAGGGAGACGATCTCCTTCAAGTCGGGAAGATTCAAGCTACTGACAAAACCTAGTGCAGGAAAGTGAACGAATCAATGTACTTTTCAAATTGCAGTTGTTTGCGTTATACAAGAGATGTATCCGTATTCATATGGCATGAAATGCAAAGCAGTGTGCTTTGTATATCTGCTAGTGGTGCCACATTGACTAGATTTTATGGATGTTATTGAAACAAACATTCCCGCACTTATTTTCTTTCCTTCCAAGAAGCAGGAGGTACTAGTGGGATGCGGGGGGTGATGAAAGTGAATGCGGCAATTTTAGAATAACCAGGTGAACTAGCTTGACTCATACATGGACCCCCTCCCTCTTCTACGATATAAAATCAGCTGAAAATAAGAACCTTTTTTTCATTTTTCGCTATATTACTTCCGCTCAAAAATCTTTGAAGTAAATAGACCACCTGGAAATATCGGGTGGCACGCGATGGCGCAAATAGTATCCCATCGTTTTAATGCGTAGAAATGTTGTTTTCATATCCATATACATGTATGATTCATTGCAATTATTACTGTTTGATGTACGTTATCGCAACAACTTACTATAGGCTAAGTAAGAATCGAGAAAGAAGGTCTTAAAAGAACCAGGACAGTCATATGAATTTGGACCTTTCATTCCTCAGTTTTTCATACCCTTTGCTTGGTCAAACCATTGCCCCACGTCCCTTTTCTTTACTTCATGGATCTGGCGAAACGCTTGATCCAGGTCGGAAATGTCTGGTAAGATTCGTGCCGGGGAGGTGTCTTCTTCTCTGGAGCCTCCAAAGTTTCCGGTCGATACGACAACGAACTGTAAGGTAATGTACAACGAGACATTCACAAGAAATATTTTTGGAATCTTTTATTATATCTAGATTTATAAATGCTTTAAGATTTATGAATCTAGATATAATACACGTTCACATTTTTTTCATTATGTCAAGGCCTTATAACATATACTTATATTGATAACAATCCATCCGTAATGTACGCCTGGGTTTATTGTCTTGACTAAGAAACAAACAAGCATCTAAAATAACAACTACAAACCATCCAGACAATCGTCTATCTATATATAGCTAGGGACCATTTAAAACTGTACGGATCTGAAAATATCAAGGCGGTGAGTTGATTGTACCTGGCGTTTTCCATAATCAAAGAATTCTAGGTTCCAGTCGCCGCATTCTTGTCGCCAGCCTGGGACCACCATGTCTCTCTTCTCCGTGAAGCGTGTCGGATCCACTAAACCTCCGGACTGCGTGTTTCTGATGGCCAGGTGGATGTGGTTAGGCTGACAGCTGGAGGAGGACACTGTACCAATGAGAGTTCCTTTGAAGACCTGGGTTTTTGAAGACATTCAAGAAGTTATTGAGGAGACGTGTATGACGGCAGCCAACCACTAATTTGCAGTGCACCCAACATCTCCTGTAAGATTACACAAACTAACTCTCGGCAAAACAGATCTCTGACTTTGCAAACTACAGAAGGAAATGGGGGAAACTTTCAGCAGCTTACCGATGATTATGATGATGTTTTATAGGGAAACAAAAGATCAATGCTGTTTTTTTTTTCAAAATAAACATGCGTAATCCATAAGGTCAAGAAAAAGCTACTCACTATATGTCAATTTACTTTAACAATTGATACATTGCCTTGTTTTAACAAAATTATTTTTATGAAGCGTAAAGTCTTTAAGCTGTATTTGGAGTTAAAACTTATGGTCCAACACAAAAAAGTTCTTTCTAGCTTTCGCCCAGTCACTCTGGTCTTCCTCAGTAGACTGACCCAGTGAAGCTTGTCACGTGGCTTCTTTAAGGCGTGACGTCAACACTGAGGAAGACCAGAGTGACTGGTCGAAGCTCTAGGTGAGAGAACTTTTTTGTGTTGGACCAAAAGTTTTAACTAAAAATTGACATGTAACTACCAACACAGATGAACATCCATGACATTAAAAGTATTTAATCTGTTGCATCATCTAAATAGTTTTGTGTCATCTCTAAAATTGCTCACCATAATTAAAAGATCAATTTACCCGTTTCATCTCTTTTTCGGGGAGGAAGTTTATATTGTCAATGATGACTTCCAGTTTTTCCATAGAATCCGTCGTTATGGTCACTTGGTTGCTGCCCGACCTCCTTATGATGCCTGAAAAGGGGGCGCCGATCTGTAAGAAAAATCATAAAATGTAAATTAGCTCGAAACTAGAAATGCACAATGTTTACCTTCGCATATGGTCTGCTCTGTTAAATATCACTCAAACATATTCATATATATGGTCAGACAGGAGTTTAAATCCCCCTCGCTATAAAATTGCAACATGATGTAACCCATTTTATCATGGTAACAGACAGTCTGGTTCAGGTCATTGACCTTTTTGGTTCGGAAAAGAAAAAGAAACGTTGCATATCGAACTGTATGTACTACATATGTGCTATATGCTATTACAACGGTATGTATGCGTCCTATAGTTTTTATCAGATAAAGCAACGATTACAGTCTGGAGGCAGAGCTTCATCTTCGTGTCAATCTTGCACCACCCCCAATAACGAGATAGGTAGTTACTGCAAGTATTGTAAGTATAAGGTATAAAGTTACTTGTTGCCCGGCGGCTGCCTCTAGCAGCACCCCTTGTTGAGCGTAACGCCCTAGACCAGTGCTCGGGTAGAAGCCATCCCCGCATGCGGCCGACTCCAGGTACTTTCTGGGAAAATCTTGGTCAGCTTTGGCTCCGAAGATTTGCTCAATCAGGGACTTAGCTTCGTCGTAACTAAAATAGAGAAAGGCCTAGAAGTAAGTTTTGTTTCACCTTATCCTTGCTGCCTAACCATCGATAACTGTAACAAACATTTAGTACCAAAAGGCTACAAAGACGAGATGTGAAGGCTGGACAATTCGAGAAGTTAATTCAAAGGAAGTAGGGTAACGCGGATCAGTTCGACAAGTTCGACAAGATATGTGCAATTAGATCAATAACATTGACCAATACAATAAAAGTTTCTCGTATCTAGAATCTGTCCAACAGTGACAACGTACCCGGTTTTGATTCCATTGTAGCCGTCTTTGATGGATTTGATGAGGTCCACAGTCTCGTTGTACGCAGAGAGGAAGATGTTAGGAATCCGGTGGACTTCTTGTATGGGGCCCAGGAGTCCGTTCAACAAGTCACGAAGCTCAGTCACAATCTGTTGTCTCATTGCATTCTGGAACAAAATAGCAGGATAGTATACAGACAACTGACGAAATGTCTCTGTCATCAATACTTGAATGGGCAAGCAGAATGCCTATGCAGCTAAATTCTGGTCTTGTTATTTGGAGATTCCTAATTTTTCTGCTTTGCACTCAGGGTACGGAAAATGGTTGAAAAGTTGAACACATGCCGCTACCAGTGGAATTGTCTCTTGCTGTTATGCTTGCATGGTCATATGTGACACACGCGCTATAGAAACGTAAATAAGCGCGGAAAATGTAAAAAAAAAAACAAATATACCATATATGGTATGGGGAGGACCCTAATTATTCTATGGAGTGCCTTCCAACTGTTTTCTACTGACTTGTAGTTACAATGACCTACAATGTCCACTCCATAGAAGCGTATAGTGAAGTCCGTGGACTCTACTTGCTGGACCGCCCAGTCGTCCAGCTCCGACAGGGACTCAAACGCCACGGAGATGTCGTCAGATATCTGTGCGAGGTCCTCCCTCAGGTTCATCCAATGAAGTGTCTTCTCTGGGATACAAAATGGACAAATCTTGAAGTACTGTTTA